CACGACACCCAGAACTTAGATAAAAGATGTAGTGCATCGTTCCTGATATTAAGATGGGTCTCGTTGGACTTCTCACACAATTCCATCACATTTCTCATCATAGCTCACATCATTCTGGAGCCTATAAGGTTCTGCCCAAGGTAATAATTTAGCTTCTCTTACAATTCTCTATTATTCATTATAAATTAACTTGACTCTGCCATAACGAACCCACTCTCATCTTCGCCAAATATACTTGTTGAAGTTTTTACAATCCAATTTTATATTTTTTGTTGGATATGCATTCATATCCATTCATTCTTTCCTTGTCAGTTTTTTGGTCCTCCTTTGTTGTGTTCTAAAATGTTCTAATCCTCAAATTAATTCCCATTTCTGGCCACATTGTAAGATTTTTCTTTTAATCTTATACTGTCCTTTTTCTGTCAGCAACGATTGGCCTACCTTTTTGAAGTCTTTGCGTGCTGAAGGAATGTAAAGCTACTATAAGCTCTGTCATAGTTCTTTAAAGACTGTACATGGCCTTTCCTAAATTATGCCTTTTAAGTATTTCCCCATCCAGTCCATCCAATGTGTGCGTCCATGCTTTTATATTTTCCATTCTTCAAATTTAACACCCTTGCTTCAGATTCACTTTCAAATTGTAAAATTTAACCATATTGTGGTTACTCATCTCTAAAAGATTAATAAGAAGATCTTTTATAACAAGATTATTAATTAATCCCTTTTCATTGCATAGATTATTTATAAGATCTAAAATAGCTTGTCCTCTATCTGGCTTCTCAGTCTGTGACTCGAGAAAACCATCCCTAAGGCAATCCAGAAACTCGTCCTTACAGTTTTAGTGCTCATTTTTTTACCCAGTCTCTATCAGAGTGAAGTCACCTATGATCACTGGTGTTGCCAATGCTCCAAGCTTCTCTCTTCTCCTGACTAATACCATATTGCACACTACACTACTATTGGGTGGCCTATAAATAACTCCAACAACTGTCTGCTGTTCTTTTGGAGTTTTGGAATTCCACCCAAACAGATTACATGCATTGTTTTTTCTGATCAGAGATCCTCCCATACTAATTTTTTACACAGAGGGTGGTAAGTGCCTGGAATGCGCTGCCAGAAGAGGTGGTAGGAACAGATGCAATAACAATATTTAAGAGGTATCTTGAATGATACGTGAATAGGCAGGGAATAGAGGGTTACAGACCGCATAACTGCAAAATATTTTTAGTTTAGAAAGGCGTCATGTGTTGTAGCAGACTTGGTGGGCCGAAGGGCCTGTTCCTATGCTGTACTGTACTTTGTTCTTTGTTCTTAACACACTTTAGGCTTTTCTGTCCGATCTGTCTGAGTACATGTACATTAAGTCAAACTCAATCTATCCTGAATTAGCCAGTACTTTCTCCAACTTTGCATTTGTAAGCTACCCTCTTCAGTGCAATCCAGCAAATCCACGTCCCACCACTGATTCCATCCTCCTCCTTGGCTATTCACTCATTTCTATTCTAAGGGCTCACACCTTCAGTGTCCTCTTTGGTTCTGAACTGATTTGAAAGTAAAAGAATCACAAAACACACCTCTATCAAATAGGCAGCTTCCATGCCTTCTTAATGCCCATAGCTGCTGAACCCATTCAATCCATCATCACCTCCAAGTTCAACTTCCCCAAAGTCTCTTCAATGACCTTCTGAACTTTACCCTATATAAAAAACAACTCTGTCAAAACTTGGTACCCTCACACTAAGTCCCATTTGCCTAACCACAGTAATTTTCATTGCTCACAGTATTCCTAAAGCACTGAATTAAAAATCTTTATATTTATAACCTCTCCATGCTCTCACTTTATACACACTGCCATGCAAGAATGGGGTTCATGTTTTCCTTTTCCATATCTTTTATATTTTGAAAGCTCTCCACATATCGTTCTGTCTTCAACAGATTAAAATCATAGGATTGAAAGCTTAGACCTTGCTAGAATAGCAAAACTGTTTGCAAGTTGAGAATATTGAGAAGGCATGGGAAGACAGGAGTCGAGTTACTTGCCAGACATTTCCCAGCCTCTGACTTGCTCTTGTAACCACAGTATTGATATGGCTGTTTCACTTCATCTTCTGGTCATTGGTAAAACAGTGGGCTCTGCTGAGGCTCTTTACAGAGCTATGGCATTCCAACCCCAAGCTCCCTCTCCGATTGGAAAAGTGATGCCTCCATTCCGTCAAAAGCTGGATTCCTAATTAAGGGGAAAACAACATTGGTTACAATGGCTTACATGCAGTTGAATTTTTGAGACCACATCAATAAAAGGGGGAACCTATAAAGGCTGCCTCCATGAGTCTGTTGTTCTTACCTGGAGACCTGAGATCTGAGGAAATGCAGTTATGTGAACTTTTTCTTGGAGGAGGGAGAGGCCAGCCTCCCAGTCCAGGCAGTTTTGATGTAAGTGGCTGAGAAAGGTAGCAGCAGAAGTATGCTGCCTCCAAGATGAAATCAGTGCACCAAGTGGATTCAGGGCCTTTTTTTATTATAAGCTCATGTGATGTAGACATTGCTTAATGGGCCATTTAGAGGATTGTGGTGAGCCTCCTTCAAGACTGGCTGAAAGAGAGCAGCAATATATTTCGTAGCCAGGGTGGTGGGGTTCCCATGGGAGGGAACCTGCAACTGCATTTTTCCTTCTACCTGGTAGAGTTCATTGCTTTGTAGGATGTTCTAAAAGGAACTTTGGTGTGTTACTGTAATCCTCTTGTAACTGCCAATGTGCATCAGTGATTGAAGGAGTGAATTTGTGTGGTGGTGGATCAGGCGTCAATCAAACTAGCTGCTTTGTCCTGGATGACATTCTGCTTCTTGAATGTCATTACAGGTGCACTCATTCAGGTAAGTGAGGAGAATTCCATCACACTCCTGACTAGTGCCTGTTAGATCATGAACAGGCTGTGGGAAAACAGGAGTGGGTAACGAAGCACGGAATTTTCAGTCCCCAATCTGCGTTTGTAACTACATTATATACATGACTGGTTCACTTCCATTTCTGGCCATTGGTAACTCCCAGGATGTTGACAATGAGTGACAGTAATATCTTTAAATGTCAAACGAAGATAGTTGTATTCTGTCTTATTGAAGATGGCCATTGCTGGCTTTGTGTGGCGCAAATGTTACTCGCCACTTATCAACTGAAGCTTGGATGTCGTCTAGTTCTGTCTGCATACGAAAATTGACTGCCTCAGTATCTGAAGAGTCACAAATAGCGGGGAGCTGCACCAATGATCAGCATACATCCCCACATCTGCTCTTATGATGTTGGGATGATCATGGAGGAAGTGGCTGATGATGGTTGAGCTGAGATGATTGACCTCCAACAACGAAAGCCATCTTCTTCCAAACTAGGAATGACTCCAAACAGTGCAGACTTTTTGAGCTGATTCTCATTAACTTCAGTTTTGCTAGGGCTCTTAATGAGATACTTGGTTAAGTGCTGTCTTAATATCAAGGGCAGTTGTTCTCACCAGAGATCTGGAATTTGGACCAAAGCTGTAATGAGGTTGAGAGCTGAGTGGCCCTGCAGAACCCAAACTGAGCATCTGAGCAGGTTAGTGCTGAGTAATTGGCTCTTGATGATGTCAGTGGCACTTTCCCTTCATTGATGTTTCAGAGTAGACATGTGGGCATTAATCAGTTGGGTTTGAATTGTCCTGCTTTTTGTGCACGAGACATCCCTTCTGCAATTTTGCACATTGCTAGTTAGATACACATGTTGTAGTGGTACTGAGACTGATAAAAACTTATTTATTACATTAATTTTGGCAAATTCACGTTTGCTTTAAGCAAGCACAAATGATACCTGACTCCCTACCCACTCCTGTCCTAAGATTTCCTGGAAACATATCTCCTCAGTTCTCCAAAAGTATACCCTGGCCTTCCAAAATAAATTTACTAAAACAGACCTGCTGTAACATGGTATTCTGTATTTTTTTTATTCATTCACAGAGTGGCTAGGCCAGCATTTATTGCCCGTCCTTAATTGCTCAGATCAAACAGAGGGAATACATGATTCAGAATCAAATGGAGATGTTTGAATGGCCTGCTCTCTCTATGAATCATGGACCAATGAAGTACAGGCTGCCTCCATGAAAACTGGAAATGACACATCTGGGGGTGGAACATTTAGATCATCGTCCCCAAGACAGCCCTAAAAATATATATAAAAATCTGGAATACTTTATAAAAATAAAGCTGGATATCATAAATCGTGTCCCTGCTATCACAGCATACCCTATGTAGAACAATTCACACTGACGAAAAATGTTATCACTAAACTATAGAAATAATGTCCTGTCAGGAGTAGCATTTGCCTTTTGTTCTCCTCCTTTCTCACAGTCACAGTCACACTTTCCAGATGAAGCAGTGATTTACTTCTATTTCTTTCAATCTAGTCAATTTTCTAATCACCCTGTTCTGAGATGTTATTACACACCTCTGGAGTAGGATGGAATTTGAACTGGGGCCTTCTAGCTCAGAGGTAGGGACAATAGCACTGCATCAGATTGGCTATCAGCCAAAAGCATTTTCTAATCAACCTATTCAGAAATACTTTTACACATCTCTGAAGAAGGTGGGACTTGAACCTAGGCTTCCTAGCTCAAAGGTGGGAACATTGCCACTGCACCACTAGAGACATTATTATGTGATGTAATTATAGACCAGTGAGCCTGACGTCAGTGGTGGGGAAGCTGCTGGAGAAGATACTGAGGGATAGGATCTATTTACATTTGGAAGAAAACGGGCTTATTAGTGATAGGCAGCATGGTTTTGTGTAGGGAAGGTCATGTCTTACCAACTTGATAGAACTCTTTGAGGAAGTGACAAAGTTGATAGATGAGGGAAGGGCTGTAGATGTCATATACATGGACTTCAGTAAGTCATTTGAAAAGGTTCCCCATGGTAGGCTGATGGAGAAAGTGAAGTCGCATGGGGTCCAGGATGTATGAGCTAGATGGATAGAGAATTGGCTGGGCAACAGGAGACAGAGAGTTGTAGTGGAAGGGAGTTTCTCAAAATGGAGAACTGTGACCAGTGGTGTTCCACAGGGATCCGTGTTGGGACCACTGTTGTTTGTGATATACATAAATGATCTGGAGGAAGGTATAGATGGTCAGATTAACAAGTTTGCAGATGACACTAAGATTGGTGGAGTAGCAGATAGTGAAGGGGACTGTCGGAGAATGCAGCAGCATATAGATAGATTGGAGAGTTGGGCAGAGAAATGGCAGATGGAGTTCAATCCAGGCAAATGCGAGGTGATGCATTTTGGAAGATCCAATTCAAGAGCGAACTATACGGTAAATGGAAAAGCCCTGGGGAAAATTGATGCACAGAGAGATCTGGGTGTTCAGATCCGTTGTACCCTGAAGTTGGCAACGCAGGTCAATAAAGTGGTCAAGAAGGCATATGGCATGCTTTCATTCATCGGACGGGATATTGAGTACAAGAGTTGGCAGGTCATGTTGCAGTCGTATTGGACTTTGGTTTGACCGCATTTGGAATACTGCATACAGTTCTGGTTGCCACATTACCAAAAGGATGTGGATGCTTTGGAGACGGTGCAGAGGAGGTTCACCAGGACGTTGCCTGGTATGGAGGGCACTAGCTATGAAGAGAGGTTGAATAGATTAGGATTATTTACATTAGAAAGACGGAGGTTGAGGGGGGACCTGATTGAGGTCTACAAAATCATGAGAGGTATAGACAGGGTGGATAGCAAGAAGCTTTTTCCCAGAGTGGGGGACTCAATTACTAGGGGTCACGATTTCAAGATGAGAGAGGAAAAGTTTAAGGGAGATATGTGTGGAAAGTTCTTTACGCAGAGGGTGGTGGGTGCCTGGAATGCGTTGCCAGCGGAGGTGGTAGAGGCGGGCACGATAGCATCATTTAAGATGTATCTAGACAGATACATGAATGGGCAGGGAGCAGAGGGATACAGATCCTTGGAAAATAGGCGACAGGTTTAGATAGAGGATCTGGATTGGCACAGGCTTGGAGGGCCGAAAGGCCTGTTCCTGTGCTGTAATTTTCTTTGTTCTTTATATACATTTGGAGCAGATGGGACTTGGATCCATGGCTCCTAGTTCACTACCACTATGCCACAAATGTCCCTTCATACCTCCATTCTGTTGAATCCTTCTAAAACTTTAAACAGCTGTATCAAATCTCCCTTCAATCTCCAAAATCAAGGGAATGTGAGTTAATTTGTCCAGAATTCTGGTGATGCAGTCAGTGATGCACATTAACTACCTCAATATGACATTATTCCTGCCAATGGGTTTGCTCTTAATCCCAACTAAACTCTTCTTTATTCCCATTATACACCTCCGTTTGTTCTTCACCTACATGAGTGTCACCCAACTACTTTGACCTGAACAATTAAAAAATATAAACCTGGAACTGAGGTCTAGCTCTGGAGTGGACCCAGCAGAAACCTTGTGATAGGGCACCCCACCTCTCTGTGCTGGAATGATCAGGATCCACAGCAAACAGAAAGCAAGCAATTCTCAGAATTATTTTTACTTGAGTGAAAAATATGAATATGGAAATCTTGAGACCATTTAGTTCACTTTCTACCTAACAAAAAGATAATAGTGCTGACTAATCACAGCAATCAAACCTCTTTCAGTTAATCTGCAGCAGAGCCTCGTATGACATTCTCTTACTTAGAAAGTTAGATAAAAGCAAGGAATGTTTACTTATTTCTCAGCACAAACATTATCGTATTCTACATCATAGCCACAAAGGGAAACTGTCTAAGTAGAGCTGAATTTATGAAAATGTAACCAAAGCTTCTGTTTGCTCAGGGTAGTAGCCTGTAGTGTAATTGAGTCGCACTTTCCGTGTAGACAAGAGTGTATTGTTTACACTTCCTTATAGACATCAATGTAATGGTTAATACAGCAGAGTCAATTTCACCCATTAGTCAACTCTGGTGCCATAATTTCAGATATTTAAAAATATGGCAAATGTTTTTATTTGTATGGTCATAAAAAAAAACTAGTTCTTGGCTCAGCCATTTTATTCTTAAGTTCTAGAGATATTCTGAATTTTGAGTAATCACTGCCATATTTTATTTAAACACTAAATTTTTGTCAGCATAACATCAGTTATGGAAAGGCACCAATTTAGCAACCTGCTGCTTTCATGTGATTATGTTATAATTTGGATCATACAAGACTGCTGCTTTTGTAAGTGATCTTTATTTGTTGTTGAGATATGGGTATCATTGGCAAGGACATTTTTTGTTGCCCATCCTTAATTTCCCTTGACAGCAGCTAAGAGGTGAATGTTGTTGGTCTGTAGTCACATGTAGCTCAGACCAGGTAAGAACAGCATGCTTTCTCTCTTAAACAAACAGAGTGAACCAGATGTGCTTTACAATCATTAATATTAATTACATAGACATTATTACTGAGGTTAGCATTCAATTCCAGATTTACTAAATAGTTTATTTTAATTTCTGCCAGGTACTAGACTGATGATACCAAGATTAAAGGGTTTGATTTATAAAGAGGGGTTGGATAAGCTGGAACCTTTTCTCCCTGGATCATTGGAGTTTGGGGGGGTGACATTATAGAGGTTTATAAAATCCTGAGAGGCATAGCTAAGGTGAATAGCAAAGGTCTTTTCCCCAGTGTAGAGGAGTCCAAAACTGAGGGCATGGGTTTATGGTGAGAGGAATGTATGGAATGAGCTGCGAGAGGAAGTGGTAGAGGTGAGTACAATTACAATATTTAAAAGACATTTGAATAGGTACATGAATAGGAGGGGTTTAGAGGAATATGGGCCAAAGACAGGCAAGTGGGATTAGTTTAGTTTGGGAAACCTGGTTGGCATGGATGAGTTAGAATGAAGAGACTTGATTCTGTGCTGTTTGACTCTATGACTCTATTCACTGTTCAACCTTTACGCTGTGACACCAAATGTAGACTGGGTAACCATTTTGCAGAACACCTCCACTCCTTCTGTCAGAATAAGCCTGACCTTCCAATTGTTTGCCATTTCAATTAGCTATTTTGTTCCCAATCCAACATTCACATCTTGTTGGAGTGTTCCATTGATACTTAATGCAAGCTAAAGGACTAGCAACCCAGTTTTTGGCTTGGGCACATCACAGCTTTCTCAATGCTGAGTTCAACATCTTCACAGCATGATATCCATCTTGCATTTTGATTACCCTTCCAACCTGCACCACTTCCCCCCACCAACTCCACGGAGTTTCTCCAGCATTTTCTGTCTTTTATTTCAGATTTCTGGCATCTGCAGTATTTCATTTCTAATTTTAAAGAAATTAAATGCTGTCCATATCCCAATGATAGGATGCGTGTTCATTGTGCACATTACCGTCATGCCTGTTTTTAAAGCTTATCCAATTTAAAACCCTTTGAGTCCTTTTAAAATCTTTTTTAATTTGACTTTTGATTAAAATAATTTTGGGAACTCACATCCACGGGAGGCCTCCAACTATTGCAACATGGATATAGCCAAGCAATGGAGCACTGGAGAATAGACAAATCTAGCATCAATTATATCATTACAAGCAGGAGTCAATACTCTAGGTCAAAGCAGTCCTTTCCCCAGGGCAGACATTCATATTAATCAATTTTGCTAGTCAGGCAGACAAAATGTGAACAGCAGACTTTTGGCCTTTCGTTTAATTAGAGGCAGACCTTTTTTTGGAAAAAAAAACGCCAAATTTGCATTCAACATTCCACTAATCAGAATATTAATCATTTTGACGACTTGGATTGTTGAGGTGTGAGAAACAGCCTCTGCCTCTGTATCATTTACCTTACGAAAAGCAGACAGAGTTTACAGCCCTTAATAGTCAGCTGGAAAATTACAGGAGCAGCAGGACCTAATGAAACTAATAAGAATCCATGAGTGGGTTTGGAGTAGGGTAGCTGGTTACCTGTTTTCCATTAGACTTACAAGAACCAAGACTAGTGTTGCAGTGAGACATTAGAAAACCGAGGAATTTCAACTTCCGGAACTTGTTTAGAGAATTCAGCTAGCTAAATTCACCTTGTTAAAATTTACAGAATTTTGTCCAATCATAAACAAAATACAATTCCACGTCTTCATTTTGCACCAGTGCAACAGCAGTTCACTTAAAAAGGTATTTTCTGAACTGAGGCTTTGGGTTTGTTGAGATTGCACGAAGTGCCGTTTCAAATTACGAGTACAGAATGGAGAGCACATTGGAAACTTAGCAACTCTGGGAATGCCTGCACAGCTTAACCTGCTGTTGTGAGTGATGATGTTTCCAGAATAGAATGGGCTATCTTTTCATTTCACCAGCTTAACAATTAGCTAGAAGCAACAATGAGGCATGGTATCATTGCTGTTAGGTCATTAGGTATGCCCTGTTACCAATTAGTAGCCAGGGTGAGGCAATGATAAATCAGAGACATGACTAGAATGATTCTCAGGATACCCCGCTAGCCCCTGTTCAATGTCTTATAGTCACTTGAAACGAGTCAAGTCATTCACCCAATTGTAGAACTCTGAGCCTGTAGCTGATCCATATCTGACACCCCAGTTTCAAGTTACAGCGGCCAAATCCTCATGTAACCTTGCCACTTAGTTAGTACCCTAATCGAAGCTCAAGATCATATACTTGAAAGCACATGCATTGATCACTGTCATAACATAGCACCACAGAAGCAATATGACAAGTTTGACTACAAAACATCTGTCTTCATCTATGTACCAAAATGAAACCAGGTTGCAAGAATAGGAGATTTGCAGAAGTTTCTGCTTTTTAAGATACTGCAAGTGAAGGCATTTTGTGAAAGACACATGTCCAACTTTAGAAGTGGTATCACCGATGAACCATTTTCATTTCAACATTAGCAGAATTATTCTATATTCAAGACTTGCAGCACGTAGTAAAGTTCTTGATCCAGGTTTTCTCTGATGATGCCCCTTCAGTGAAGAAAATTACACTGTGAACATTACAGTGTCATAGCACAATGGAGCATATGAAAACTTTGGACCTTTGGGAAATACTGCCACATTGTAAAATTGCACAGCCTTTTCAAGCTGCTGCTTTTTGCCTGTATTCAAATAAACAAGTCATGCCAGAATTGTCTTATACAGCTTTGTCCTACCAATTGATCAATGGAGTTGATGTTCTTAGTGATATATGAAGGATTTGGAGTGATTGACGTTAAGAACAGTTATGACATTCACATTCATTGGCAATGATATGTCCATGTAAGATTGTCTGCATGTCATTTGACAGTTAGGATGCAACACAGTCATGCCCTGTGTTGTGAACGAAATCCTGTACGAGCATTACAACCTGATATCAGAGATGGTAAGAACGGCCGATGCTGGAGTCAGAGATAGCACAGTGTGGAGCTGG